CCAATACTTCNATGGTCTTTATCTTTCTGGCTTACTTCACTCTGTATAATGGGCTCCAGTTTCATCCATCTCATTAGAACTGATTCAAATGAATTCCTTTTAATGGCTGAGTAATATTCATGGTGTATATGTACCGCAGCTTCCTTATCCATTTGTCTGCTGATGGACATCTAGGTTGCTTCCATGTCCTGGCTATTATAAACAGTGCTGCAATGAACATTGGGGTGCACATGTCTTTGTCCAGTCACCTGATCACTGCCAATTTGGGCTGATGTTCCACACATAACTTCCAATTTTGATAGTTTGACAGTTTTGCCTTTGATTGTATTAATAGCAGTCTGATTGGCTTTCCTACTAGCAAAGGCTAGCACCAACCCAGAGGCTGTGTCAGCACAGGTAAGGGCATATTTATACCCTTCTGTCCCAGGCAAAAGCATATATGGTCCACTTGCCATCTGGTAACCAGAGGAGGGCACCACCTCAAATGATGCATAAGGCAGTCCTTATCTGTAACTTGGAGGCCCATAGATTTGAGAGGCAAATGTACTATTTCCCAAGTTGTTTTGGGAGTTCTATGTCTGACTTTCGGTGGAGTCATTCTGCTGCATTGGAGGAGGTCTGTAATTCTTGCAGACACAAGCCTCTTGTCCTTGCTAGCGTATCTGCTTTGTAATTGCCTGGCAGAGTTGAGGGTGAGTGAGCGGAAACAAGCCATATGGTCACATCGGCACCAGGTTGTGTGCAAACAGTTCAGATATCAGCACATAACTTAGACCTCCACAGAGGTTCATTTACTGTTTCCAATTATCTTGATGCCATTGAGACATCCATATTGTCAAGCCTTTCCCTACTGCCCAAATGTCAGTGGCAAGGTTGAGGGGTGTGGGATTGTAAGCAATCACCAGCCCTTCTACTCTGAGTTCTTCCCAATGATTATGATGTCCAGTCCCTTCCTTGAACCAGATGACATCTGAATCCAAAACAACAGCTATGGTGTATCACCAAGGTAGATCACCCTTACAGCTGCCCTCGATGTACCACGTACCCACAAGGGGCATCCAGGTACCTTCCTGTACTTGAAGTAAATTGGGTCCAGCAGGTGATGTCACTGGGGTCTCTGGTGGGTAGATATAGGTCACTATTTGCAACTCCTGAGTAAGTGGACCAGTGTTATAAGTGCTTCTCTCTTGAAGGTATGCATGCCACTTTTGTAAGGTACTCAGTTGTGCACAGGCATTCATAGGCTTTAAAAACATGTCCTTAATCCATCTGAAGCAAATGGCAACCCACTCCAGTATTTCTGCCTGGAGAGTCCCATGGACAGAGGACCCTGGCAGGCTACTGTCCATGGGGTAGCAGGAGTCAGACACAACTTAGTGACTTAACTACTACTACTACTTAATCCATCCCCCCATAGGCATTTGGATGTCTGTACACTGACAAGTAAGTCAGTGGTTAGACCCTCAGTTTGTTGTAAGTCTAGGTATACTGCTGACAATTGTTTGTCCATAGTGCTATATCAATTCTTTGCCCCTTCCCAAAACTGAGACCAAAATCCTAGTGGGACTCATTTCCCATTTTGTCACTACCATAGTCCTTATCCAAACCCTCCTGGGTATAGACTTACATCCAACTCACAACTTATGTCTGGCATTAACACCTCCAGTCCTTGAACTTATTTGACCATAAGTTCAGCTTTTTCAAAAGCCTCTTGTGGGCTTATGGGGTGGGGTATTTCTAACCCAGGTATTTCCTTTTTTCACTAAATCATACGTGCTGTGTGCTCAGTAGTGTCCTGATTCTGCAGCCCTATGGATGGCAGCCTGTCAGGCTCCTCTGTCCATTGGGATTTTCTCAGCAAGAATACTGGAGTGGGTTGCCATTTCCTCCTCAAAGGGAATCTTCCCAATGCAGGGATCAAACCCAAGTTCACAACTCGAATGGCTCCTATATTGCAGGCAAAGTCTTTGCTGCTGAGTCACCTGGGAAGCCCCAAAGAATATAGAGGTCTCAATATTTGGACAAGATAGAGAATAAATGGCCGCCCCTACCCTAGCACACCTATAAAGGATTGTAGTTCTTTTCTATTGTAGGGCATGGTTTATCTATATTCTATCAATAGCAGCTTTGGGCATCCCTTCAGTCTTAGCAGACTAGATAACTCCTAGCAACTTTACTGACTGTCCAGGTCCTTGTAGCTTACTGGTGTTGAACTCCCATCATTATGCTTAAATGTTCCAGAAGAGGCTTGGGAAAGAGAAAACAAGTCATTACAGGTTAACCTAGTATCATCAATGTAATGATAGAGAACTACAGAAAGAAGGAGAGTCCATTTCTTCAAGTGCAGGGCCACCATCCCATGGCATATAGTAAGATGACGTTGGGGTAAGATGGTAAAAGACCATTGTTCCCCCTTCCCACATGAAGGTGCACTGGTGCTGGGACTCTTTATCTAAGTGTTTGCTAAGAAAAGGCATTAGACAAATCTAAGACGCTGTCTTGAGAGAAGAGGCTATGCCTTGAGAGAAGTGGCAATTATATCCAAGAGTTTTTGTAACTGCTACATAGGTAGGGGGTATTACCTTGATTAATTTTCTATGGTCTACTGCCATACACCAGTTGCCATTTGGTTTTTTCACTGCCTTCATGGGGCTACTGAACAGGCTTTGTGCTGGTATCATAACCACCACTTTCTCTAATTCCTTAATGGTAGAAGTTATTTTTTTCTTATTCCGCAGGTACCCATTATTGTTTTTTATTGCTACTACTCTCTGGGGAGATAGGCAACTTCACAGAGTCCCATTTAGCATGACTAATCATTATAAGCTTGAGTGTCTGGTCCATAAGTCGAACTCACCCATGGTGGTTTGAGGTCCAGGTCCTATAGAACATACACACCCAAAATATACTCAGATATGGGTGAAGATAAACCAGACAAGGAGGGGGAGGCAATCTTCTGATTTGTAAATACAAGCTTTCACTTGTATTTTTCACTTTACAGTGTTTGACCTCATATCCCATCAATGGTTGCTACTTCTCCTTGGAACTTAGATGGATTTCCATAAATCATAGTGCAATTTGTACAGTATTTGCTAGAACAATCTGTTTATTGGTGCAGGACCAATAAATAGTCTGTTCAACCTGGGGCCTGCAAACCAAGGAGCACCCTTGACCCCACCCCTAATCCTTAGGAATCCAGGGTATACCTGCAAATATCCATTTAATTAAGTTGGCTGGGTGCCCTCATTTTTCTCCCACCCCAGCCCTATACAAACATTGCCAGAAGGCAGTTGGTGCTGTGACAGAAGCCATTTTACACATTTGTGGCCCCTTTAACACAATGCCATTGCCCCCAGTATCCCACAAATGGAGAACCTAGGCTGTAATGCCCTCTCTACTTTTTTGTTTAAATATTCTGGTTACTATACTAGTTCAGGGAGGAAAAATCTCATGGGGCTGTTTTATAGCTCTTGCGGTGGTTTAGTTGCTAAGTCATATCTGACTCTTATGACCCCATGGACTGTAGCCTGCCAGGCTTCTCTGTCCATGGGATTCTCCAGGCAAGAATACTGGAGTGGGTTGCCATTTCCTTCCTGTTATCTCTCGGTTCTCTAGCATAATGTGCTTTAGTTTGAATCAGAGGCTGTGACTGCAGGTCCTCTTCTTCTATAATTATGTCCTCATCTTCTGAGGAGTCATGAGTCCAAGAATTCCACCTCTTGGGGTCCCAGTTGTCCTGTGAAATAATAGTCCTCACCTTTGAATGGAGTAGCCTAGGGCCCTACATTTAGCCATCTTACATTCCATCATTTCAATAGGTTCTTCCTGTTGTACTTTCTTTGACATAATGTCCTATGTTGCAGAATATCCCATCCATACATCTCTCTCTAGTGCCCAACTGAGCTGTAATTCCTTTTCTGTGCTAAATTTGAGAGTGCATAACAAAGGCCATGCAACAGCTGCAATAGATTGCTCACTTTTGCTCCAACTTTTTCTTTGCCACTTCTTTGGTTAATGTATTTAGTAAGTCTTCTGCTGTTTCCATTGTGTCCCTGTACATTTGCATCAGCCTGAATTGTTCCATAAATTTAGCCAGATCACCCCACATGGAAATGGCTAGCCAACCTGGGATTTCCCCCACAACAGCAAGCTTTCCCCTGCTTGGCCTCTTCACCCATTCTTGCATCATTTTCAGTCTCCTGCCTAGCTTGCCAATTGTCTAAGGATGGAAGGAACAGAAAGTTCCCAGTGAACTGAGAAGGCATCTTGAGACAAAAACAAGCCAGGTAGCTCCATATAATCACTGGGTCAGTTTATTAAACAGTAACTTACTCACAGGGTGGTATCAGGATCAGGTGGACAACAATCTGGAAGCATTCACATCTACACTCCACACTGCCAAGGGGCTGTTAGGAGGATTTTATAGTTAACTTGGAGTATGGAGGTAGGTCCTTGGAAACAGGACATGCACTCCTAAGTCAAGATGAATGGTAACTAGTCATCTGGGTGCCAAAAATACATCAGCAAAAGTTTTCATCATTGTTTGGGAACTAATGGACCATAAAGACCACAATATCTATTATTTATAAAGCCCTTAATGACGTAGAAGTGATTCACTGCACAGGGGTAGGGTCAGTGTAGGACAGGAGAAACTGTAAGGGCCCAAGATGGCATCAGCTATGCTAACAGACATACAGTGGGTCTCGGTGTGGTCAGCCTGATCCCTCCATTATAAAGTCCCCTGTGTGCCTAACTTTTGATCTGTAAAATGCAAATAAGTTAAATATGCCCTCTCTACTTCAAGAAGTTTTATGTGAATAAAATGTATAACAGGTTTGTTATACTCAGTTAGTACTCAGTTTTAAGGAGCCGTAGCAAACAAGTCAGTTCTGTATTTTCTGCCATAGAGTCAAATCAGAAGGGTTCACCTTTTCTCCAACGCCCATGGTTTTCTTTCTGCTGTCTGACTAATTATTGCTTTTTGGGGCTTTGGCTTTCAGCTGCAATGTTGTGGTGTAAACGGCACGAGTGACTGGACATCCGGAGTACCAGCATCTTGCCCCAAAGGCTCAAATGTTAAGGTAAGTTATTTTTGGAAACATTTTTGCTATTGGACACTGTGATTAAGCCTTTAATTCCCCTAGAAATCCAGTCATACAGGACTTAGTCCTCCCAGCCATAAACAGGAAACTTCAAACAAAGCGAGACCAGGGAAACATATAACTAGAAAATAAGAAAAACAAAAAAGAAAAATAAGCAAAAACAAAACAGAATAAGTTTATCTAGACTAGAGATGCCATTAAGAATCTTGCTACTCTGAACTATTATATTAGAGGGGAAAAGTTTATGTGATAGTGGCAGAAGACTGTGTCTGGATTTTTCTTGAGTAGTAATTAGTTCTTCTTATAGTTGAAAGTGAAATTTGCAAGGTAGAAGCAGAAAAGCCTCTCTTTCTACTTATTTCCCTGCTCTCCTTCCTTGGAAATGGCAGCATCCAACCCCTTAGCAGAATCAATTGTAAGTGAAGAGTGAGGAGCTGGGGGTGAAAGAGTTGATGGAACTTCTGACTAGACCCAGAGAAGAAGCCCAAATCATCTTCCAACTAGACCAAGCCCCTAAGATCTTGTTATCCATGTCACCCACTTGATGTTGTTTGGAAATCTCTGGAATTTGGGTGGGTGGGCCATCTGTGAAGAAAGACTGGGACACCCACCAACCAGCAACTGCCCTGCAACTTGGTAGGGCCATGATATGATTACTGGCTTTTGAAGCAAAAGCTGAAATGCAACCAGTCATAGGATTGCATAGCCTATATTCCTATTTGTCAATACCAAGACAGTAGTGAATGTTCAAAAAATACAAGGACATATGTTGTTGACCTGCCTCTTTATTTATATATAATGCCTGTCCTAAGTGTCTTGGCAAAAGACAAACTATCATCCCAAATAAGCCACTTGATAAAGTTGAGTAATATAGTAATGTCATTTGTACATGTAATTTTTTCTAGGGTTGCTATATACAAGCAAAACAGTGGTTTCACTCTAATTTCCTGTATATTGGAATCACCACTATCTGTGTGTGTGTAATCCAGGTAAGAGCTTAATCAGAGGATTATTTTGAGAATTAAATAAGTTAAGTCATGTAATTTTTAAAGTATGTGCTTGATAAGTATGAGCTCCCCTATTCAAGTAGAAAATTATGTTATTACCAGTTTAAGGCATACAGAAAATAATGCTGTAAGATTTATCTGGTCAATTTATCCCTAATAGAAATGAGTGTATCATGGTCAAATTAAAAGCCACTAAGTGGAACCTTACTTTGGTCCCTAATTCAGCTCATCTGGAAAAGCCTGTTAAATAAAACATTTCACTTGAAAAGCTGGCCTTGTGTGCTAAGGAGGAGTTGGTGATGAGACTGTAATCAATTTCTTCATTGCTTCTCTGCATATCTTGACAAGTCAGGGGTGAATGGAGATAATTTCTTGTTCTTTTTTATTATGTGATATTCCTACTATTTTTATACCCAAGTGTCTTGAGTGTATCACAGATTAGCTAAGATCTACTTAGGAAGCTCAAAGAGAAATGATTTTTTCTCTGCTTGGAAACCAAGGAGGCCTAAGGCATGGGTAGAGAAGACTCATTGCACAATACGTTGACCTGTGCAGAACTTGATTATACCAGAAGCAGAATTTCTGTGGTTTCTTAAGGAGACAAAAGATGTCCCAGCACTTAATATTCTACTGTCTTGCCATCATCACTCTCACTTGTCTCCCCACTGCCATTCTAAAGCTAAAGGAGAAAACTCTTGAGAAGGAATTAGAAGTGATAGTAGGAAGGGTAGTTTAAGTGTGATGGACACTTTCTTTTCCTTTGGGATTCATCCTAGGGACTGTGGGTGAGATGTTTTACCTGTAAAGACCTCACTTTTTACCAACTCTTCCCTCAGGTATTAGGGATGTCCTTTGCACTGACCTTGAACTGCCAGATTGACAAAACCAGTCAGGTCCTAGGACTCTGACCTGCTGCTGCCATGTGCTGGAGAGACTTCTTTCATCGCTGGAAATCCAAAACAACTTGTATCATGAAGTCCTAAATGGCCACCTCTTGAATTAGTGTCTTCGTTCTCCCTCCCATCTCTTCTCTGTGTGGTCCCTGTCTTACACAACCAGAGAAGAGGGTGTTGGTCAGGCACTTCCCATCAGACAGCAAGATAATCCTTTACTCATTCATGGCAGTAGCCTTATCATTCATTAATACCTGAGCATTTGTCAGACATGAAAGGGCAAGAGAACCTGTGGTACTAATGGCTCAAAATCAAAGGAGCTTGACTTTCTGCATCTTTCCATTGCCAAAAAGGCTCTGGCCTCTAAATCACACACAGTCCACTCTCCAAAGTCAAACAAGAGATAAGCTTAAGGGAGCTCTGGGGGCAAATTCACTGGATCATTATCACAATCCTCTGTTTCCTTTTGACTAGGGGACTTGGCTACAGGAATGACAAAAATACTCTTTCTCCAAAGGTTAGGTTTCATTTCAATTTCTTTATTGATCCATCTAAGTCTTTTCAAGAGGAACTGTCCAATGACTCACATCCTGATTTCAGTCAATTGCTTAGACTTTGATTTACATAACTATGAAGGAATTCAGCAGGATCAGTATTTCTGGTGGTTGAGGTAATAATCACATTCAAAAGAGTTCTGGTGTTATTTCTCTTTCAGATAAGTTTTTTCTTAATGTAATATTTTAATTCTTCAATAAATAAAATAGCTTATGATCTCACAATCACTACATTCTCATTCCTTTGTCTCAAATATAGTTTTCATGACAAAGCCTGATTGTCCTGCCTGCAAGTTAAGGATATTAGTTGTCTATTGCTAAATAATGAATTACTACAAAATTTGTCACTGACAACAACGAATATTTATTATCTCACAGTTTTTGTGGATCATAAATCTGAGAGCAGCTTAACTGGCTGATTCTGGCTTGTGATCTCCCTCACGACTACAGTCAAGATATCAGCTGCAGTCATCTCAAGTCTCAACTAGAAGAGGACACACTTCTAAGTTCTCATATTGAAACAGGAGGGAAGGGGACAGGGCACAGCCTTTAAAAGAATGACATAACCATAGGATATGACAAAAACTGGTTAGAACCAACTAGGTCCAAGATGGTGGAATGTTCGATTTCCAGTGGACTTTAAGCTTCATCATACAATTATTGTAATACATTGATATAAGCTAAGGGACGCATCCAACAATGCCATGACAGTTCTGAGCCTGACTATCAAAGATCAAACAGTGAGAGGTGACCTGATTCTTGGAAATCTCTGCCCTTTCCCCAAAATAATTGGAATAATCCTCCCACTCATCAGCCTATAAAATTGCCCAGCCCATAAAAACTAACCACATCACATTGTGAGGCCACTCTTGCCTCCTGAGGTGTCCCACACTCTGTCTGTGGAGTGTTTCTATCCAAATACATCCCCTTCTTACCTATCACTTTGTCTCTCACTGAATTCTTTCTGTGATGAGACATCAAGAACCTGAACTTCATTAACTTCGGAAACCAGGTGTGGAATTCAGTTAAAAGATTGATTTCAAGTCTCAACCTGAGTTACACAATTTCAATATGGCTCCTGGTAGGCATCAGTTCTTTGCCACATGTACATATCCACACCACTGTCTTATGACATGGCAACTGATTCTCCCCAGAGCAAGACATTCAAGAGACAGAATGAAATACAGCACCCAAAACAAGCCATTAGTTCCTTTTATAAGCTAACTCAGAAGAGCCATCACAATTGTCCTGCTGTACACTATTCCTGAGAAGTAGGCTGAAAAGATTACACTTGAAGGGAGGAAATTATACAACATATAGAAACTACAGGGTAGAGATCACTGGGAGCTGTCTTAGAGGTGACCAGCCACACCATGATTTTTTGGGTTGGGAGAAGCTAAATTTAATTGTCTTTGTTGTTATTCAGTCACTAAGTCATATCCAACTCTTTGTGATCCAATGGACTGCAGCACACCACACTTCCCTGTCATTCAGTATCTCCCAAAGTTTGGTAAACTCATTTCCTTTGAGTCAATGGTGCCATCCAACTATCTTATCCCCTTCTCCTCCTGTCTTCAATCTTTCCCATCATCAGGGTCTTTTCCAATGAGTTGGCTCTTCGCATCAGGTGGCCAAAGTATTGGAGCTTGAGCTTGAGCTTCAGCATCAGTCCTTCCAATAAAAATTCAGAGTTAATTCCCTTTAGCATTGACAAGTTTGATCTCCTTGCTGTTCAAGGAACCCTGCTTTGCAAATAGGTTTCCTGTACCATTTTTCTAGATTGCACATATATGTGTCAATATATGATATTTATTTTTCTCTTTTTGACTTCACTTTATATGACAGCTTCTAGGTTCATCCATACCTCTGCAAATGGCACAATTTCATTCCTTTTACAACCACAATAGAGAACAGTGGGCTTCCCAGGTGGCGCTAGTAATAAAGACCCTGCCTGCCAATGCAGGAGACATGTAAGACACACACGGTTCAATCCCTGGGTTGGGAAGATCCCCTTGAGGAGGAAATGGCAACCCACTCCAGTATTCTTGAGAAACCCGATGGGTAGATGAGCCTGATAGACTACAGTTCATAAAGAACAATATGGAGGTTCCTTAAAAAACTAAAAATAGAAGTACCATAAAACACACCAATACCACTACTGGCATATATCCAGAGGAAAACATAATTCCAAAAGATACATGCACCCTAATGTTTATTGCAGCACTTTTACAATAGCCAGGACACAGAAGCAACCTAAATGTCCGTTAGCAGAGGAATGAATAAAGAAAATGTGGTATATATGTATACACACACACACACACACACACACACACACACACACACACACACTGGACTATTACTTATCCATTAAAAAGGAACAAAACTGTCCCTGTTTCTTGACTCCTGCCTCCATGATCTTCCCTGAGTTCCAAAGTATAACTCACTCGGGCATGTCTGACTCTTTGTGACCCAGTAGACTACAGTCCATCAGGCTGCTCTGTCAATGGGATTTCCCAGGCAAGAATACTGGAGTGGGTTGCGATTTCTTTCTCCAGGGGATCTTCCCAATGCAAGGATTGAACCCAGGTCTACCACATTTCAGGCAGAGTCTTTACCATCTAAGCCACCAGGGAAGCCCTGAGTTCCAAAGTGAAGATTCAAATAGTTGCTAATCTGGGTATAGTTGCTAATCTTGGGTATGGCATAAGCCCTCTTGGAGGAGGTCGCCATTAACCCCACCACAGAGCTGCCAGATCTTACACAGGACTGGGAAACAGACTCTTGGAGGGCACAAACAGAACTTTGTATGCACCAGGACCCAAGAGAAAGGAGGAGTGACCCCATAAGAAACTGACCCAGACTTGCCTGTGAGTGTCCAGGAGTCTCCAACAGAGGCATAGGTTGGTGGTGGCCTGCTGTAGGTTTGGGGGCACTGAATGTAGTAGTATATGCATGGGATCTTTTGAAGGAGGTTGTCATTATCTTCATTACCTCCATCATAGTTTGGCCCCAGGTAAATAGCAGGGAGGGAACACAGCTCCACCCATCAACAGAAAATTGGATTAGATTTAATGAGCCTGGCCCTGCTCATCAGAATAAGACCCAGGTTTCACCCACTTGACGTAATCCTTTTCGTATCTGGGACCAGTCTGCTGTTCCATGTCCAGTTCTAACGGTTGCTTCCTGACCTGCATATATGTTTCTCAAGAGGCAGGTTAGGTGGTCTGGTATTCCCATCTCTTTCAGAATTTTCCACAGTTTGTTGTGATTCACACAGTCAAAGGCTTTGGCATAGTCAATAAAGCAGAAATAGATG